AAACTCAAATCTATGCAATTAGGAATGAAAAGGGTGAAATCACAACAGATTCTGTGGAAATCCAGATCATCACCACCTGCTTTGAAAACTTGTACTCTAATAAAATGGAAAACACAGAAGTAGAGAGGCTCCTAAATACATATGAATTACCAAAGCTGAACCAAGAATATATAAACATTCTAAATGAACAGTATCAGTCAGCAAAATTGAAAATGTAATTAAAAATTACCAACAAAATCAGCCCAGATCCTAGTGGATGCACGGCTGAATTCTACAAGAAATTTAGAGAAGATCTAATGTCACTACTCTTCAAACTCGTTAATGAAATTGAAAGTGAAGGAATACTCCCAAAGTCATTCCTGGGAGCAGCTATTACCCTGATACCAAAACCAGAGATGGATCCAGCCAAAAAAGAGAAGTACAACCCAATCTCCCTAATGAACATAGGCACCTAAATCCTCAGTCAGACACTGGCAAACAGAATGCAACAAATCATCAAGAAGATCATACACTGTGACCAAGTAGGATTCAACCCAGGGATGCCAGGATGATTCATCACATACAAATCAATAAATGTAATATATCAACAGAGCCAAGGACAAAAATCACATAACCATCTCAATGGATGTAGAAAAAGCATTTAACAAAGTTCAAAAACAATTTATGGTAAAAACCCTTCAGAAAATTGAAATAGATTTTTACCTCCATCTGATAAAAGTCATCTATGACTAGCCAATAACCAACAAAATACTAAATGGTCAAAAATTGAAAGCTTTCACTGTAAAATTAAGAACAAGACAAGGACATCCACTATGACTACTCGTATTCAACATAGTTTGGGAAACATTAGCCAGAGCACTTAGAGAAAAAAAAAAAGAAAGCAATTAACTGGATAGAGATAGGAAAGGAAGCAGTTAAATTATCATTATTTGCAGATGACATGATTCTCTACATAGAAGACCCCAGAAAGCTCTACTAAAAAGCTTCTGGATTTAACAGCCAAATTCAATAGCATAGCTAGATACAAAGTCAGCACAAAAAAAATCAGTAACATTCCTGTACACAAATAATAAATTCACTGTAAAAAAATTAAGGAAAGAACACCTTTCACAATGGCATTCCCCCAAAATAAAATACTTAGGAATCAATCTAACAAAGGAAATAATTGACCTATACCTTGAAGATTACAGTACTCTGAAAAAGGAGATCAAAGAGAATATCAGAAGATGGAAAGATATACCCTGCTCTTGGGTAGGAGGAACCAACATAGTGAAAATAGCTATACTCCCAAAATTGTTATACAGATTTAATGCAATCCCAATCAAAATACCATTAGCATACCTCATAGAACTAGAGAAAACATTCCTAAACTTCATTTGGAACCAGAGGAAACATAGAATAGCAAAAACAATTCTGGGCAACAAAGGTAAGGCAGGGAACCTCATAATTCCTGACTTAAAACATACTACAAAGTTACTGTGATAAATGATTGACATACTGGTCATGCCAGGAATGCAAATTAAAACAACCCTGAGATTACATCTCACTCCAAGCAGAATGGCTTCTATCAAGAATTCATCCAACAACAAATGTTAGTGGGGCTGTAGGGAGAAAGGAACTCTTCTCACTGTTGGTGGGAGTGCAGACTTGAGCAACCACTGTGGAAATCAGTGTGGACATTCTTCAAAAAATTAAAATTGCAGGTTCCATTTGACCCAGCTATTCCCCTGATGGGTATCTTCCTGAAATAATTAAAAGTATTGTACCACAACCATGTATACGGACCTATGTTTATAGGAACACAGGTTATAATAGCTAAATCTTGAAAACAACCCAAGTCTCCATCAACCGATGCATGGATTCAAAATGATGTCTTTTTTCTACAATGGAGTACTACTCAGCCATAAAGAAAGATAAACTGGAGACATTTATAGTTAAATGTATGCAATTTGAGACTACACTCTTATGTGAAATAATCAGATACTTGTCTAAATATCACATTGTCTCTCTGGTGTGAGAAATTGAAAGGGTAAATAAGAACCAAAATGTATGATAGATAATATAAATTAAGAAACTGTTCAAAAGAAAAGGGAAAAGTGAAGGAGGGAGGGAAGAAAAATGAAGAGAAAAGAAATAATGAACAAAGAATAAAATGGAAACAACATTTCTGTAATTAAAGAGGGGAGGGGGTTGAAGGGAGGGCAGGGCACTGGGAGAAAATGAGGAATCAAGATATATCATCTACAGGTACAAATTCCCTTTGATGAATGTGACTGCTACATATATTTAAATTGTACCAATATAATTAATGTTTAAGAAAAAAATGTTTAGACAAAATGTAGTATATACATGCAATGGGTTTACCTTTGAGAACAGGAAATTCTGACATGCTGCCACATGGTTGAATCCAGAAAAGATTGTAAAAGTGACATAAGTCAATTTCAATAGTACAAACAATGTCAGATTCTATTTCTCTGAGATATTTGAGTAGTTAAATATGTAGAGACAAGAAGTGGACTCGTGGTTGCCATGGTCTGTGTGCATGGAAAAATAGGTAGACATTGCTCAGAAGGTCCAGTCTGAGTTTGATAGACAAAAATATTCTAGGGATCAGTGGAGGTTATGTTGGATAAGAATATGAGTGCACATAATACCACTGAATGTTGGACTTCAATATGGATAAAATAGTGAATTTTATGCTGCATCTATCTTACCATGTAAAAAGTATGAGAAAATTGGAAGACATTGCCTAAAATAACTCCACATAATGATTTCTTCCTTTGAAAAAACATCCAGAGCACTATGTAGCTGCACTAGCACTGCCAGCCTCTACCCCATCCTTCCCTAAGTGGACAGCCAGGAAGAAGAGCAAGAGGGGGCAGCACACTCCTGCAGAGCTGCCAAGTGCATAGCACTCCATGGCCTTTCTCTGGGGAGCGAGAGCAGTGTGGTTACTGAACCTGTTGGAAGACAGAAAGAATGGCAGGAGAGACTAGCTGGGGAGTGGGTCCATTCTTCAGCCATCACTCTGGGACTAAGTAACTGTGAAAATCAGCTGAAAGGAGGAAGGCTTACTGTGGCTCCCGGTACCACAGATTTCAGTCCACAGTCAGTTATTCCATTGCCATTGGGCCTGAGGTCAGAGGATCAAGTGGAAGGGTGAGGCAGAGGACAGCTGTGTTCCTCATGGTAGCACAGGGCTGACAGAGCCAGACAGGAAGGGCAGGGATGAGATACAGCACAGGGCATGCCCCACAGCCCACTACCTCTAACTGGGCCCTGGCTCCAACCCTCTTTCACCTCCCAGTGATGCCATCAGACTACCCTCAGGATTAACCCACTGGTGAAATGAGAATATTCGTGATCAAACTGCCTGGAACCCCACCTCTGAACACATGAGCCAGCTGCATTCATTCTAGGCCTGAGGCACAGCAAACTACTCCTGGCCCTCACATCCATATCTTTATGCAAAACACTCTTTGTCCAACTCCAGGAGTCCTCTGAATTTAACAGTTCCAGCACTGCTCCAACTCCAAGTCAGAGTATATTACTACATGTACAAACTTGCCAAAATGAAATCCATTTGCCAGTATAACCAGTATGTGCTGATTTTTAAAAAAGGTGAAAAAAATTTCAACTCCAGAGTCTTCCCTGGGGCTCAAGGCAATCCTTAGCTGGGAGCTCCTTTGAAAGCAAAAAAGCAAGTTCCATACCTCCAACATACAACAGTGCAACAGGCATAGGGTAAACCTTCCCATTCCAAAAGCAATGGGCAGGAAAATAGTGAGGAGGAACCCAAACCCAGCATGGCAAATACTAAATCCCAAAGCTGCAGGCCAGCACCCAGGAAAACCTGTGGCAGGATGTGCATGCCAATAGTCTGGGGCAGCCCCAACCCTTGACCTTGCCAGTTGCACCCTCATGGCCTCTCTCTCCTCTCCTCACAGCTTTCCTCCCAGGATGTTTGATGCTCCTGGCATCTGTAAATCCCTGGGACTCCCTCACTGCAGCTTTGGCTTCCCTCACAGTCTCATGCATCAGGCTCTCTGGGGGCCCCTTTGGGGAGTGGCATCCTGCCACACAGTGTCTGGCTCCCAGGCCTCCCATTTAAATGCTGCTAGAAGCCTCCCTGACCCACACCTTCAATTCTTGTACCTGCAAAGCAAGCACTGTGTTGATGAAACCAAGGTCTTACACCAGCATGAGCAGTAGCTAGGGCCCCTTGGACAATGGCTGCTGTGGCCTCTGAGTGCCTGGATGGCTGAGCATGGAGAAGTAAATCTGAGGGAACCAATGCTCTAGGCAGATCTGCTCAAGGACAGCACTCAGGGGTTCTCTTCCCAAATGAGAGATTTATGCTATACATACTTGACCTTATGCAGGTGGGGTCATGCTGAATCTCTGCAGCAACCATAGCTTACTTGAGCCCAAGCTTTTGAATTCCTTCTCTTCTCCTCTCTGCTCTTGATTCTCATTGTTAACCTGGCTGAAAGCATGGAGCAGTGCTCATGTCATAGCCTGCTATGACATGTGTGCTATTCTCCATGAAATTTCCTGTGTTGGACTAATTAGTCTGTGACCCTTAAATTCAGCCTTTCACAATGTCGCATAGCATGGACAAAATTCAGACAAGTGCTTTGTCAACCTGTAACATGAAAGGACTCTGGACCAATTGCCAAGACAATACACTTTTCTTTCTAAAACCTCATCAACACAGACTTTAGTGTCTGCATTCTAGGAGCCTATCAGCCTCCTGAGATCACACTAGAATCATTCTCTCTAGGACACCTCCATCCCTATTTCAAAGTCAAGGGATAGGTAATAATTATAGAGCAGCAGTGTGATATTTGAGGACATGTCCTAATACTCACGGGAATCATTCCAGCAACAAAAGGAAAGACATAATAATTAGGCATAGGATTACAGAAATAGGAAAGTAAAGTTCAACTTCATCTTCATCCTTATCTTTTCCTTCCAGCCATATATTAGAAACAGATGCCATGGAAATCAATGCAAGTTTTCCTAACACTTTTATCCTTCTGGGATTCTCTGAGTTTCCATGGTTGGAGAGGCCTCTCTTTGCAGTGGTCCTGGTCTGCTACCTCCTCACCCTGGTGGGGAACAGCTCCATCATCCTCCTCTCCCTGCTGGACCCCAGACTCCAGATGCCCATGTACTTCTTCCTGGACAACCTCTCTCTACTGGACCTCTGTATCAGCTGCACCGTTCTGCCTCAGCTGCTGGTCAACCTTTGGGGACCAGATAAGACAATTGCTGCCTGGGGATGTATCACACAGGTCTATCTTTTCAGCTGGATGGCTTGCACTGAATGTATCCTGCTGACCATGATGGCCGTTGATCGCTATGTGGCCATCTGCCGGCCCCTCCAGTACACTCTCATCATGCGTCCCTGGGTGTGTGTGCAGATGGCAGCTGCCTC